CAGGGCGGACCTCATGAATGGCGTTGCCTTCGGCACTTCGCACTGCTTAAGATCTAAAGTGCTTGAATAATTCATTTAAATCATTATTTATTATAATTTCATATTACGTATACGCAGTGCGAAATTTATTGCACTGTCATTGCAGTGGCTTGCATTTCCAAAATTGCTTTCCCTCACGACTCACTAAGATTTTATACATAGCGATTGAAATAACTATAGTATATATGTATATATAAATTTGTGTACATATACAAGTGCATTAGGTGATTTATTACTTTAACCAAATTCCTTTGCCTAACCTTATTGAATTCTAAAATTTATCTGTCCAAATTTCAAAGGTGTTGCCACTCCAGGCGGCACTCTCAATAAATTCATTTTTAAGACAAGTATGATGGCTACAGTCGGGAGTGTCAGAGCACACATGGATGTTCACAAATATATGCATACACAATTATAAATATATGCTCTACGATTGCGCTTCTTCTGCGTTAAGTTTCATGGGATAACTCCGATTCTTCATTCTTGTGAAGCTTAATTTTGCGTAAGCAATCACAATTTCTGGCCGTGCACATGTGCAGCTATGCCATACATTAATTAGCGCAAAGACAGACAGCTCAGACTGTAATTTGTTCTGACTGAACATGCCTGGGGCTTGTCTGGCGCCATCAGAAAATAAATCGACCTCGAATTTTATGTCCGACGAACTCAATCTGAATGCTGCTGGGAAATTGGTACACAAGCCGCATAAAAATAATCAAATCATAATTATGACTTTAATATACATGTCTATCAAAACTCAAATCTGTTTAATATAAAATTAGTAAATGTTGCTGTCTTTTGCCTTAATAATTCTAAAATTATGTCCAAACCAGAAAAACATTATGCCCTGATTGCCCAATTTGAATAGGTTGAGTGAGTGAAATAAAAATAAAGCAGGGTATACGAGAATTTAAACAAAATGTAAAAGTTTAACTCTGCAAATTCTGTAATTTACTAAATTATTCCGTTCTTACAAACAGATAGAGAGAAAATCAAACCAAACTGAACCAGATAATGTGCACATACATAGATGCCACGCCTCGTACTGCCTGTCATGGTATAATGAATGGTTGCGTGAATCTGCGTCTAGTAATTTGCTCGTTACGTAATAGATGCTTAATTCCCCCGACAGCTATATGTGAAGTATATATATTTTCACGTCTGCATGCAATTTGGCATTTCAAAATAAATGCACATCATTCAATATTCGAATAAAATGAACATATTTCACAGCACTCGTCCAATTACAGTGCTATAATGTATATATACTTGGCTTGTAATGAATATCAGAATTAATCGCCTGTGATGAGCGGCCGCCAGTGACTTAATCTGATACGTCAATTGGCTGGGCCATAAGCCGTTTAAGAGTGTTGCAACACAATATGGAACATGGCATTTATTTAGTGACAGTTGCCAGTTGCCAGTTGCCTTTTGCCAGTTACCAGTTGCCAGTCGGAAGTTGGTTGTTGTTGATAGTTGTTTGTTTGTGTTGGGCATTCGTTCAGTTTGTTGTCTGTTTTAAGTTTCATTAATTTGGTTTTACGCCCAGTTGAGTTGAGTTTCGGCTGTGGGTGTGCGCAACGGTTTCGTTAGTGTCAATATTTTGGCACCGGCTGTTGCGCGACAGCGGCTCAATGTAAGTGCACAACAACAGCAACAGCAACAAGAACGTACTGTAATGGAAAACAAACATGAAAGGTCGAGCGAGTGTTTTCGGTTCGGCGACAAGCGACAGTCGAGGCGAAAGCAGAGGCAACGCTGCCAGCTGCGCTCACAGCTCACAATGCCAACAAAAACAGCAATAGCAGCAACAACAACAGCAACAACAAAACGCTCAAACAGGCAATCAGGCAAACGACAAAGCAAACCATCTACATAGCCGAATCCTCGCACCACTTTGCACCAACTTCTACTAGCAAACCACTCTCTCTAAAACACAGTCGCCTCCGGGCCAACTGGCGCGGCCTTAACCGCGACCACCGCCCATTTTATATAGAAGATTATGGGGTATTCTAATGTGTACAATCAGTATGTAACGCGTCAAGAAATGAAGTCTTTCTTCTAATGTTTCAATTGCAGCAATCTAATTAAAGGAAAGGGTTTCTTTGGATGTTTAAATTTGAATATGTGAATGTTCGGATAAAGCTACAATATTCGATTAGACAGAGGGCTCATCTATGAATTCAAATTCTGCAAGGATATTCCTTAAAAGTGAGCAACGTAAAACGTTCCCAATGGGTATGCAGATTCGAACCCCTTTCTGATGTCTGAACAGTGTGCTGTTGTCTTAGCCGAAAGCTTTTAAGGCCTATAAAAGAAAATAACTAAACTATGTAAAAAATATTGTACATTTCCTTATACTTAAAATATATATATATATATATATATCAAACTGGACTCGAGGGCACGAATAGAAGGGTATGCTACAGTGCGGCTAATCCTTGTGAATCTTGTTGTGTTCTTTAGGAAACAAATGTCGGTTGTGGCCGCTGCAATTGGAATGGCCAAAGACAAACGGCGGCGCATAGTGGAAAGTCTTGATTTAAAAATTGTTTGGCTGTTATTAGTTTCTGTGAGGGGCTTGCGACGGTTTTAATTAACGCCGCCAATGAGAGCAACAGCAGAGACAGCCAACAGCTAACAGCCAACAGCCAACCAACCAGCAAACCAACTAGCCAACCAGCCAGTCAGACAGTCAGATAGTCAGCCATGAAGTCAGCAGCTGGCACGTCCAAGCAAATCCTTTACGCCAACTCGCATCGCATCCTTTTGCAATTAGTGCGACCAGATAGCCCCCAAAAAGTTGCATCCGACAAAGCAGAAACAATACAGCGCGCGCATTCTTTAGGAAACTTCTAGCCGGCAATACGGACAGACATCCAGCTGCATCTCAATGCCTGACAAGACAATCCAGTCTCTGTCTTAAGGAATGCACAACATAGATCTGTAATCTAATCAGTGCAACTGGGCCAACTAACTAGTCACAGAAATAAAACTTAAAATTGGCATTGGAACTGCAATTGCAGACTGACTGACGAACATCCAATTAATGACTGAAACGACTAAACTAACATTAAGATGTAAGCATATTCTCTTTAAAAATGGGACATTTTAGGGTATATTGATTTTATACAATGCCGCGATCTACCATGACAGTCTTTTTATTCCTCCTCAGGCTCAACATCCGAGTCGAACTAGGCGACTGTCTCTAAATACTCCAAGCGATCGATAAATCAATATGTATATAAATATCAAAAATCGATAAATCAGCATCAGTATTTAATGAATTGAGCATGTCTTCAGAGCTGGAACGGCAAAGAATTTAATTTTACATTAGGGCAAGTTCTATAAATCGTAGTCTCCAAATCCATCTACATTTATTATGTTCAACTCCTTCGCTTTATATTAATGTAACAAATTACTGTAAAATTACTGCTTTGCTGTAAAGTGAATTGTTTATAAATGTTTTCATACATTTTCTATTATCCATCCAAATTGATGTACCTACACAACTTATTTATAAACAAAGAGAAAAAAAAAGAAAAAAAAAACGAAGAACAAGTTGTGGAAAAGTTAAAAATCTGTTTACTTTGCATTTATATGCAAAAAGTTGTTTCACTTCGAAAGAAGCACAATCTGAGAGGTAAAACTTAAGGTTAAAAGACACGATTCCCTGACAAGGCCACAGAGAAATTGGAAATTGCCATTTTATAGCGTTTAATCGGGCATATTTGAGCTTAACTAATATTGCCATCACACACACACGAACATAATCATGTATGTGTGTGTATGAGTGGCCATTAATGCCTTTGGGAGTATGAAGACGCCCCGAAAGTGTTTGCCTTTAATTCGTTTAAATGTACGACATGTTTGCCTAAAAAAAAAACACTTTCAAACTGATACCCTGGAGTACAAAACGCATAATAGGTATACATGAATGCTAGGCGAACAGAAATAGCATAGCTAAAGTATAAAAATATACTCTTTAAAAAAGCTCTCTATGAACATAAACAAACAAGTTTATAGGGTATATGCAGGCATGCATAGTTGTGTATGCTTTCTTGCATATTTGCTCTCTAAAAATAATATGTATTCTAATAATAATTCTAGTTACACTAGCAACATATATATTAATTATGTATTCAATTCGTTATAGTCAACTTATTTACAGGATATTTTGTAGTCCAGCATTGTGAATTAACCGTGCTTGATTTGTTTTCCCATCAAAGTGTTGGCAGTCGTATTTGCTCGGCCATAACTCGCTCTTGACAAGCAGACTCCCTATGCATTTGATTATTTTAAGTGAATAAGTCGCTTGATAAACATTGTGAAAGTTTTATTTGTGAAATTTGTAGAAATCTTTTCATGCTTTCAAAGGGAAAATATTTGAGCTGTTAGCAAACTTACCTCAAATGTCCTTTCGCATAAGATGTCCCAGACTCATTGGTTTAAGTATTGGATAGATTACCTTGTTAGTTTCAAAGTCAACAGTTGTTCATAATCTTTTCAAACTCAACAGTTGTGACCCTGAACGCTCACTACATAGCATTTCCCTGTGCGTTCACCTAGCTCAACAGCTACGTAACACTTTGCGGGCAACACAATTTCCATTCAATGTAGCTATCTCTCTTGACCTTATAATTGTTATATTAAGATAATAATATATGTTAAACTACTACCAAAATTGCACCAAATATTGTTTCGTATAAAATATCTCAGACACATCGGTTTGAGTATTGGATAACATTTTCGGACTCAACAGTTGTGAATGTTTTTTTTCGAGCTCAACAGTTGGGCTACTGAACGCTCGCTACGTGGCGCAAGTTGCGCAACACGTTGAGCGCTCAACACAATATCCGTTAGATGGCGATAGCTCCATTAGATTTTACTAGATGTCGCTTTCGCTAATTTCCCGCTCAAATTTAAATTTTTCGAAATATGTATATATAAAAGCGTTTAACTCAATAAATATTGATGAGCATTTATTCTTAAGATACGTCGGATTGGGAAACAAAAATAATGGGACAAGCTGTGCTGGGTAATTGTTCCAAATGTTTACAGGCCATGTTTGGCCATGACATCGGTTATCCACTGCACATAATCGGCCACATTGGTGTAGAGACCCGGCAGGCTGATCTGACCGCAGGATGTCACGCCCATGCTTACGATGCCAAACTCCACCATGCGCACCTTGTACTCGTCTAAGTAGGGAGCGGGCGCCTGCAGCGGGCCACCAGAGTCGCCCTTGCACGAGTCCTGCAAGTCGCCGCCGCCCACGCAGAGCTGCGTGTGAGGCACCTCCCGGCGATAGGTCTGCGAGCAGACCGATCGGGACTGCATGGGCACCTTGGCCTGCAACAACACATCCGACGAGGAGCCGTTCTCGGTGGTGCCCCAGCCAGTGACGAAGTAATCCGGCAGAGACTCCGCCTGCTGTTTCAGCTCGTTACTGATGGGCAGACAGATGGGCTTAATATGCTCTGCAAGGGATGAGTTTGATTAGCTAACGAAGACGGCTCATGTCCAGCTCCTCACTCACTGTCAAAGAGGACGCTCTCGTTCAGGCGCAGCAGCGCGATGTCATTGATGATTCGCTTTGAATCGTATTTATCGTGTATAATGAACTTCTCAATGCCCAGATCCTTGACGGGCGGGGCGCACTTCTCCTTCCGCCCCTGCTGCCGGCAGTCCCTCTCAGTCGAGATGCGGTGCTCGCCCAAGCGAATTTCATAGCTGCAAACGGACAAATTGAGATTGAGAAAATTGTTTTGAGAGGAGGAAATCTGATACCCACAGCTGATCCTCGAGTCCATAGACGCAATGGGCTGCAGTCAAAATATAGCCTACAAATTATTAACAAATTATTTTGGAAGTCTTTCAACTAGATATGATCTATGTTTACGGTTGGCAATGATTGTGCCGCCACATAGGAAACGAGATTCGCCCAAGCTTTGGTATCGCAGCAAGGCCATCCAGGGCCTGGAGGACAACTTCACCTCGTAGCCATTGGCCACGCGCTGATTGAGAATGTTCCCGCAGTTGAAGTCGGCGCTCCTAAATAACTCCATGACCTTGGAATTGTGCTGGATCTGCGGCGTAGGACAACAAAAGTGGCGCTAAAAATAGGATCAAAGTTGAGATTAAGCTATATATATATCTGTCTCTATGTAATCTTAAACATACCACTCCATCGATCTCGCCACATGACGCCTTCTGCAAATAGCTGGCATACTCCGGCGACACACGCTGCCCGCTCTGCTGGGCAGCCAAGAGGCGCTGCTCGATATCCGAGCAGGAGGAGAACGGCATGCACTGGCCCCGCTCCCCGTTCGGGGTGTCGCAGTCATCCGCATAGGCTATGTAAGCGTCAATGTGCATAAGCAATTAATATGTAAAACAAAAACGGGTCGTGCGAGGTTTTCTATCTCACCTGCTCGAGCGGAACGGGCGCCCATCAAGCAGACAGCCGCAACGACGACTGCGAAGAGCAACCAACGGCGCAGCATCTCAGTAGAATGCGATCAACACTAGATGGAAGAAGCAGCCACCTGATAACCAGCCAAACGAACGCTCCAATTGCTACTGTGCGCACCGCGCTCCGAGCACTCGTTTTATAAGGCGACCCTGGCTCGAAGTGAGCTCAGTCCGCTTCCAAGCTCAGCTCAACGCGCTCAATCAAGAATTCAGAATGGAGAGTGGAGAACGTGGAAAGGAGAGTCGAGAGCTGAGCACAACTGTGGTTTTTCCCCTCATGTGGCAGCGCGGGTCGTTGTTCCTATCAAACTGTTTGGGTTCCTCTCATTTCGAAATATATATAAATATAGTCACATACATTAAAAATATAAACATCTACGTATTTATCAAGCATCTTCTCATATACTGATTATTCAAGAGTCTATCGGGCTCTGTTGACGCATTCGCACTCTACAATAAATATGATTAGTTTCGTTGAGTCTATTCGACGGGCAGTTACCCTGCTAGCAGTTTTTAATTATATGCATGATTCATTTGCTTCCCACTTACGATCAGCTCAGATTCAGGTCACTAAAGAGGAATGAATATTTCTCTGCTTGACACAAGCTTATAAACAAAAAGCTGACATACCCTCTAAATATTAACAATAAATACAGGGTAATAAAATATATTTAAATATTCAAGCTTATGCTTGGCCTCATCTCAAACAACTCTCTAAGCATTCATATGGCTATGGCTCATCGGTTTTCAGAGAGAGGAAGAGACAGAGAGAGAGCGAGAGAGTGGGAGAGAGAGAGAGAGAGTGAGGGTCAGATGGAACAAGCGCGCGAGCAACTGGAAGGTTACAACTAATAAGCTTGCTTTTATTTTTTGCAAGTACGAAGGAATCGAAAATTTAGACTTCATAGAAATCAATAAACCTGATTCAATATTTTAAAAACGTATACATATATATAAACAAAATGTTTATGATGTTTACTCTTCGATTCTTCCGTAATTTAAGAAAGCCCTATAAACAAACAATTTTCCGGGAAATTTTGCTTAACGTTAGCATTTTCCCTGAGTTAACAAACATAAATGATTTATGGAATAATGGGAAATTGAACTAACGATGAGTCGACTAAAAGTATTTCAACTAATTGTTCGCCTAGAATTAACCCATCAATTTGACGGGAAATACAAAAAGCTCTTACGAAAATAATTAAAATAATAGTTCGGCATTTATTGTGATTTCTTATCAACATTAATTGAAACATTTCAAATTTAACTTCTGTAGTTGTGTAATTTTATTGTAAATCGCACATTTGCGGGTCAATTGTACAATTGTTTTGGGATGATTCCATCATGTTTAAACATAATTATAGTTTGTATAACTAAAACTGATTTATGTTTTTTTCTTTGTAACGATAAATTATAACAAGTCTATTTAATAATAAATATCAGACATGGATAAAAGAAAATCATTATTTATATTGACATATATAAATATGCATATAATTTTTATATTATGTGCATATACATATACGCTATATATATTAAATAAAAACTTTTAACTTATATTGTTAACTATTAGTTTAAGAGTTAATGCTTTAGCTCAGCGGCAGCTGTTTAACTTTCGTTAAGGGATGGGCAGAATCTCACCGTTCTGCTGTCTAATTTTGCCAATGGTTCTATGCGGTCGGTGTGGGTTGGGTAATTTATAAGATTTCTTCGTTTTCTATATTTCAACGAAAGGGAAAGAGCAATAGATCAATATCAATCAATGTTGCACTTTTTATATAAAATTGATAAAGCAGAGATTTTCGTAACGCGCTTCGTGCCGCTTTTATAAGTAAAAATACATTAAAAAGCAGTAAAGAGAGGGTTAAAGAGAGATTTAAAGATGGTAAGAGTTAAACAATAAGAAATCCAAAAGGAATATTAATATCCAGCAAGCCACGTAAACTTAGTTTCATACGTAAAATAGGCAAGTTAAATAACAAAGCAGTTAGTAAATTAAGTAGGATCGCATTCATCGTAGCATACAAATTAACACAATTATTTACACAAATAAAAAAATTCTTTCAACTCATTTATCATAATCTACGATTTAGAACATATCGAGAATACACAGAAGTCTTTGTCGCACATGTCGCTTGGCTAACTACTACAGCTCGAATCTATGACTAACAATTAATATGAGTAGTTAAATAACAATGTTCAGGTTTGCTTGTTGCTTTTGCTTGTTTTAGTCACCAATGGAGAGCTGTAGAGCTCTAGAGCCGTACGCCGGCAGTTTTTGAATTTAGTGATTGAATCAATAATATGTCGATAGTGTGAGCCATTGCAGAAAGTTTGCTTGATTAGTGTTTGGTGCTGTTGGTGGTCGCTTAGAAGTGGTAGTAGTAGTGGTAGTGGTAGTAGTTCGAAGAGTGGGTTAGAATGCAATACAGAAGTGCCATCAAACGATGAGCCAATAGAACAGAACGATTTTCTTATTTAATAGCGGCAATTAGCGGACTCTCTGCGCCTAAAAGGGGAATAGAAAGAAAAAAGAAATGTTAATCACTTTTTTTTCCATAGAGTTTTGTGGGCACTAATTCACGAGTCTTGATATATGGCATGCGTGGCCAGGTCCAGGTCACAGGCATCGAGCTCTCATAGTTGAAGTTGTACAGTTGATCCTCCAGCCACTTGCGCTTGTCCTGCGGCTCTGGGTATGTGGATGCCAATCCTAATAAAATTGTAATCAAATTATTATTATTATTATATTAGCCCATAGAAGCAAAGAGGTACACGCAAAACATACCCTTGTCATAAGCACACTTGGTCACACCAATGGCAATATTCATGGACACATCACGGATGCTGGACAGTGGTGGGTACAATGAGCCACGCTCGATATCAGTGGGTTCTACAAAGTTGGCCAGCTCCTGGGCGGCAATAAGGAACATATCATCGGGTATGTGATGGGTGCCAGTGCAGATGACGCCCAGACCCACGCCAGGGAAAATGTATGCATTATTACCCTGGCCGGGATAGTAGGTCTTGTTGCCCATTGTCACCGGTGGGAAGGGCGAGCCCGATGAGAAGATTACGCGAGCCTAAAAAAGCGAATAATGTCAGATACATAAAGACATATTTAAAGCACAAAAGCTCACATCCGTATTGTGATAGGCCTCCTCAGCTGTGCATTCCGCCTTGCTGGTTGGATTAGACAGTGCGAAAATGATGGGCCTTTCGTTATTTTCGCCCATGGTGCGCAGAATCTTGGGCGTGAACAGACCGGCACAAGCTGAAGCACCAATTAGCACCTGTGCAACAAAAATGCGGATGAACGTATAAATTTTATATGCAATACAAATATAAGACTTACACTTGGTTTAAGTGTGGACACAATTTGCTCGAGATCAGCCATAGGTTCAATGTCCTTAGCATAGTTGACTTTGTGACCGTCCAAGCTGCCCACCTTGCGCGTTTTGGTCAACAGGCCATCAATATCAACCATGAAAATTCTACTATAGGCCTCATCGATGGGCACACCTTCGGCAACCATGCCCTTCACGACGAGATCGGCAATGCCGATGGCAGCCTCGCCGGCGCCAGCGAATAGGAAAGTGTAATCCTTCAAGGACTTGCCCGTGATACGCTTGGATGCGTACAATCCAGCCACAGCGACGGCGGCTGTTCCCTGTATGTCATCATTAAAGGTGCAGTAGTTGTTGCGGTACTTGTCTAAGAATCTAAATGCATTATGATTGCCAAAGTCCTCGAATTGGATCAGGGTATTCTGGCCATATCGCTTCACAACTGCCTCCATGAACTCATCAATAAAATCGTCGTATTCCCGTCCCACGACTCGCTTCTGCCGCAGGCCCACATACAGCGGATCCTCCAACAGATCGATATTGTTGGTGCCAACGTCCACCACAATGGGCAAGCACTGATGCGGCTTAATGCCCGCCAGTGCCGTGTACAGAGCCAGTTTGCCAACTGGAATGCCCATGCCGCAGGCGCCCAGGTCTCCCAGACCCAGAATACGTTCGCCGTCAGTTACGCAGATGGCACGAACATTCGGCTCGGGCCAGTTCTTCATCACATCAAAGATGTGACCGCGATCGTTGAATGTGACGAAGAGGCCATGCGGACGTCTATAGATCAGGCCAAAACGCTGGCAAGCCAGGCCAACTGTGGGCGTATAAACAATTGGCATCAGATCCTCAATGTTCTCCGACAAGAAGCGGAAGAACAGACGCTCATTGCGATCGTGCAGATCGCTCAGATACAGATACTTATTCAACGGTTCTGTATAACGATTCACTGCAATCTTGCACAGCTGCAGCTGTTCCTCCTGGGTCTTGAAACGTGCCGGCTGCAGTCCATGAATGCCCAGCACCTGACGCTCCTCCAGTGTAAAGGCCAAGCCCTGTCGAGGGGGTGTAAAAGCTGCGCATGTATATCTGCATCACAGTCGGAGGCCCAATTGCACTGCCACTTACCTTATTCAAGCGAGGATCGCGTATGTGATCGATGCCGCGCACCTGCGAGGGGCATATAATGTCGCCGACAACCTCATGATAGCCACGGGCATCGCTCAGCGCCAGCGCCGATAATGCTGGCAATGTTGTTGGTGCGCTTATTGCTGCGGCAGTTCCATTGCGACACAGCCTACCGAGATTTCCGCACAAGCTGCAACAAAAACAAAAACAATATTTATTATTGTGATGCAACGTCACGAATATTCAAGCTCAAGGTTAGCGTCAGCTGTTTTAGATACTACTTAGAATCGAACTAGAGGAATGCTCAACCAATTGCGACAATCTATTATCATTACTCTATCAACAGAACTCTGAATGAGTTTGATATCTACGCACCACAACACAACGAAATACCCGAAGCCGGTAAAAACCTTAGTACCGGTAAACCATGTATTCTCTCTTTTTACTGGAAAAAAGCACTACAGTATCTAAACATTATCATATCAATGGACTTAATGAATATAAAGTATATTGTATATGATATTAATCTTATAGAAATAAGATAACAAATTAAAGTATTGTTTGCGGTATGAAGTGTTTTTTAACCACAGGGTATTTTAAAGTCAAGCACACTTGAACTATGCCCAATCTAGTTTGCCATTTATCAGAGTGGTGCAAAAACTAAGCCGCATTGTTTACGATCGCACGATAAGATTCCGAATGATAGCATATGACGAGGGTACCAAATATGTTGGCCGTTTTCATTCTGGGAGATTTAGCATAATTGGC